TTCATATTCATATTCGTGTTTCAAAATCTTTATTCTTATTGGCGCCAGCTCAGAAGGTTGTATGGAGGTTGGAAAAAATAAGAGGGTATCAAATTAATCATTTTGAATATAGGCGTGGTTGATGGTGCTAATGGTTTGTTGAGTGGTTCACATGATGGTTTAATGGGGCCATGTGGTTACCTGTTGGTTGTGTCATTGGTGAATGCCCAACTGTGTTGATGGTCGTCTTCGAATTTGGTAATCATTGGAAAACTGTTGGATGTTGGTCAATGTGGTGGTGAAATGGTCAATGCTCTGTCATTTGGCTGATGAGCACAATTTGTTTTTTACGACAGCCGCTCTTGAAACGGTTTTAACTGATTTTTTTGCTTCTCAGAAAGTAGCTTTATTTGCAACTGCAAAAAGAGTTTGCGCGTTCACCTTTGTTCTGGTTGTTGTTTGGTGTTCTTCGTTAACTTAAGGGGGGAAGATTTTTTTGAATTCGCTCTTTTATGTCTCTTTTTGACAAACGGTATCTATGTTGTTTTCAAGAGTTTTTGTCAGGACTTCAGAAATTCAGGTATATCGTTCATTATTTTCAGGTGACGACGTTTTAAAGAGTTTGAGAAATTGTTCATAATTTGCTTCCTTGTTATTAGGTGTCATATAATTATTTTGCAGGAGAACTCCTCGTCGCGACAGGGATCGTGATCGCGAACGTGATCGTGACCGAGATCGTGAACGTGAAAGAGATCGTCGTAGGTCGGTAGTTTTTTTTGATTTTTGAGCATTTTAGTTGTTAGCGTTATTTACTTATTTTTGAATGTGCAACGGCTTATTCTTTATTCTTTATAGGTCGCGTTCGCGCAGTCATTCTTCCTCTTCAGGAAGCCATTAACATTGGCATTGATTCTTATTGTCGGAGTGTTCTTAATTCCATTCTACTAGCTTCAGTTACTTTTCCTCGTTTTTTCACCTGTTCTGGTATTGTGATCTTGTCTTGAAATTTCTTGTTTGAGGGGGACTGTTGCCGTTGTAGTCCTTATGTCGTTTACTTCTTTTGGATACTGATTTTGGCATTGTGATTTTTGAAGTTGTTCGTTCGTTCTTTATACTCTTATTTAATTTTTCAACTTTCTGACCATTAATTGTTGGTAGATAACTCATGAGGACTGCTATTTTTGGTTTTTTTCATTCGATAAGGTAGTTTTTTTGCAGATTCTTATGAATAATAAGGTTGCTTCGCTTTCGTAAGGATGGGGAGAAAGTCTATTTGCTAAACACGGCCTTCTAATGTTTTCGAGAAGCTCGCAAAGCTTTCTTAATATGGAGTACTTGATTTGCACGAGTGATGTATGGTACATTTTTTGCCTTGTTATGGTTATGTTCGTTGTATTTTTTCACTTGTAGATCTTTATACGTCATTTTGTATCGTTCTTAGCTTCTAACCGGAAGTTCATTTTGAGACTTCAAGATTATTCGATATAACTTAAGTAATTCAGGATATGTGGCTACATAAGTGTAGCCCTTTATAGTTGTTGTCACATGCCGTATAACTGTTGTTCTGTTAACTCTACTAAAGTGTGGTCATAATAGTTAACCTGGTTGTTGCACCGTTGCAAAATTAACTCGGCTATGAGGAAATCCAGTTTTTTACGTTTAATTGTTTCAAAACTTGGGGTTCTGCGGTGGGTAAGACCGTGCTGCTGTCCTAATGATAGACTAGTTATTTTTTTACGTCACATGCCACTATTTTCACTCGAGATTTCTGATGTTTGGTCGACTGATGGTTAGACTGGTTTGAATGAGGAATATAGAGAGATGCTAGCTTTATTGCTATCATTTGCGGTGAGATCTAATTGGCTAGGCGTTTCTTTAAGCCATTCGAAGGCTGCTTTCGTTGTTTTTTATATTTGACCGTATTCGGAAGGTACATTTTTTCAGGAAAGGGTTAGCGTGAAGTGTCGTGTTGTCGCCGTTAGCCTTTGACTTTTGAAGCAGTTGTTTTGGTTGGGCGGTGGATTTATTGGGGTTTTTCAGGATCTGCTGCTGCTTGCAATCTAATTGAAAGTGATTTGAAGAGGGACTCCTGAAGTGCACTGGTGGGATGAGGTGACGTAAGGAGGAAGGAAAGGCGGATCAATTTGCACGATGCTTAAGTGGTCAAGTTCTAGTGTTACTATGTAGCAACGTGAGGTTGGTTGGGTGGAGGGTGCGGTGACTCTGGAGTCGACTAGTGTCTGGTTTTGAAGAGTTCTATGAAGCGGTTTTTTTTTTTTGCTGCGGTCTTTAGGTACGACACAAGGAGCTTCAGAACCCACATTCATGTTCAGTAGTTTGGTCGTAATGGTTTATGAACTCAAAGTGGGGAAGCAGAGACTGCGGTGGGTCTTCCGAATCAAAGAAAAAAAATTTTGTGCCATATAATACAGAGGTTTCGTAGTAGTTGCTTAGGTTTAGTTTTCCGCTTAAAGGTTGAAGGAAGTGGTTTTTCAGCTTTTTTCCACTTTTTTTGATTCGTCGGATAGGTTCTAAATATTGAAGAACTGGAACTCAACAGTCACACGTTATATACGCATTCCGGGAATCCAACGTTTTAGTAACTAATTTTTGGTGGAAATATATGGGAAATAATTGCTGCATGCACGGGTAAATGAGAGAATAAGCAATTTCTGTTTCTGACGTTTAATCGTTTTAAACCAAAATGCAAAAAGACTCTTGGCAAAAATTGGCAGTCTAAAACGTGATCTGTTTGCTTTTTTGATGGACAGTAAATCATGCGCTATTGAAGGGACTTAAAACAAGAACGTAGCAGCTGGCAAGTTTAAAAATCAAGCAGTTACTGTTCTTGAGAGCTTGCGGCGCTGAAATGATGAAGAATCAGTTAACTTGAATGATGGACCAAGACTTTAAAATCATTTTTTGTTTTCTGAAATATAGTTTTGGACCGCAATTCTGAATTTGAAAAATAAAGAGGTCTGTTAATTACCCGAACACTACTTAATTGATTGTTTGTCAAGGACTATCTGGATGCGCAGAGATAGATATGAGGTTGAAAAAAATTTTGATAAATAGACTTCTCAATTTTGATTTGTACATAAGGGCTGAAGAAATTTATGAGTTTTCTCAATGCTGTAAAAAGTCATATAGAACTGGCAGATGAGGTAAAAGAAAAACCATTTGTCGATTGTGCGAGTTGACGCACCTCATCTTTTCAACAATTTCTTTCGAACCTATTTTCAAAACAGTCTTAAAACAATTTTCTCCAGTGAAGTTCAAAAAAAAAAAAATGCGACTTTTGTCTTTCGCGGTTTTAAAAAATGATTTCAGCGATGATTACTGAAACAACAATAAGAAGATTAATTTTTAATCTTCTTATAGCACTTACAAGAACATCTAAAAAATAGGATTTTTTTTGTTGCTTCAATGTGAATACGTAGAGCTTCATTGATGTGTTATTGTCATAATTGTTCTTTTTTTGTTTATTCAAAACGCATTTAATAATTACTTTGGAAAATTAGCTTGATATATGGTTACGATAGTGAAATAAAACTGTGAGAAGAAAGAAGAAGTAATGCTAAAAATATACAAAATTTGGTGAAACTTTTGCCAAATTTTTGTTAAGACTAATTGGACGACCATGACTGTTTGTAATACTACAGATATGGTAGCTAGATTCACAGAAGATTGGCAAAATTTACTTGTTGACCACTGCTTAATATATTTACTTTTTATAAATCACACCTATCCTGAAAAAAAAAAAAAAAAAAAAAAAAAAAAAAAAAAAAAACCCAAGAATATAACTTTTCTTTTAAAGTTACGATGTATAGAAAAATTAAATGGGTAATCTGATTTACGCATTTTATGTGCTTATCTAAATTTATGATTTTATTTTTTGCACCTGCCAAAAAAAACACTTCATATTATTAAGATCTTTGTGAAAAACCATAGAAAATCTAAAACTTTTGACACTTTAATGAGGTCAAAACTGGACTACTTCTTTTTTTCGTCAATTCTCGTCTTTACTTATTGTTTTTCTCAACAACTTTCACTGGAATAAAGTGTTTTAAATAGGTATACAGAACTCAAAAAAAAGCGTTTATTTTGATGCAGACAAGATGAAGAGCAGTAAGGGAGATGAATAAAGTAGATCCTTCTTCCTAGATTTTCTTCTCGTTTCCAAAAATTTATTCTAATTTTTTTATTCTTTACAGTTTACATAAGTTTACAATTAACCTAAGTGTAGGAATTGGTACATCATAAATAATTTTCAAAAAGTACTGATATCAATAATTCTGTTAGTATTTTTACACTTATTCCGTTGATTATTGTTGAAATTAAAGAGTAAAGATAATTTTTGCGCTGACAGTTTAAAGATTTTATTTTTGACAATTGAACGGCATATTTTTTCTCATAAAAATGGTTTTTTAACTCAGTTTTTTTGGGTTACCATCTACACAAAATTATGTATTTTTGCTGTCATTAAATTACTGTTTATGTTGTACTGTTATTCTAATCAGTCAAGGAATTTTCTACTAGGCCAGGTTACCACAGCAATTTGGATTTTTAATGAGTATTTTAATTTGATTTACAGGTACACAGAATCACACACCGACGATAGATTATTACTTTTTATGCTTCCCATCTTAACGACGGTTAAAACTATCAAGAATACAAGGTTTTTACTGTCAGGAACGCTGTAAACAATATTTTGAATCTTCTCTCTTCTTTTCTTTGTTTTTTCCTCGTTCAACTAATGTTCTTTGAACTTTACGGTAATCAAATATGTATTAGTCAGTTTGAAGAGATTAGCAATAATCAGTATATTGCTCATAATTGTCTCCACGTGCCAAAATTTCTGTTGGTTTTTTCTATAACCATTAATTATCTAATTTCTTCATTCTGTTATTACTTAGTGGCTTCACTTTCTGTGGTGCTGATATTATGCAGAAAAAAAAGATGTTTATTTTCACAATGTTTATGATTTTTTTTTCAGCTGTACAAGCTAAACATGAGTACATACAATGCACCCTACGATAGTGATTTCGTAACAGATTGGTTTCATTAATCAGCATTTTTTTATTTGGATCTATATATTGATGTTCTTATCTTCTGAGTTAGACGGTCGTTTTGAGAAAGCGGAATGCATTGAAAAATTTTTCTACTTAACATTTCACTGAAAAGCCTGTTCTGAAGTTTTATTCAAAGCGCGAGAAGACCTAGGTTTATTCGGCAAAGAAGACAAAAAAAAAGAAGCAAAACTGGCAGACGATAATATGATATAGCAGTAGATATCTGAAGCATGAGCTATTTGATTTGCAGTTGCGGCGACATCGTGTCATCGTGTAAAATAGAACAGATTTGTTATAAGAAAACAGGAGCCATCGAGCTCATAAGTCAAGCAGTTACTGTATCCAAGAGTTACAACACTGAAATGTTTATGAATCGGTAGATTTACATATTAAACCGAGCTACTGCCATTATTTTTCGCTTTATAGAGCACAGTTTTAAGATGCAGATCTGCAGTATCAAAGATGATTATGTTTAAGACACCTATCCAGGTCAATTTGATAAACGCTTTACTTAAACTGCATGTTTCTGACAGTGTCTGGACGTGCGAATACGGGATATGAGGTAAAAACAGATTTTGAAACAAAGAACTTTACTTTATCGTTTTGTTTCCTCTGTTAAAATAAAATTTTTGTTTCTGTTACTTTGAAACAGTCAGTGTGATTGATTGTTTTTAAAGTTTTTAAGAAGAATATTTCTTGTTGCAGTTCAGACACTGTTTATTTCTTTGTTTACATTGAAGATTTCAACAAATTTTATCATAACATTCTAAGCCACCTTATTTTAGTTGCTCGAACATAACATTTTTTTCGAAAATTAGCAGCTGTAAATTTGACTTTCAGCATTGGCTGTTCGACCTATACAGCACATTTACTGATTTGAAATATTCAAGTAATGTAGATGACAAAAATTGACTTATTTTCTAATTTCTGTTATCAAACCTGTTCAGATAAAAGACTGTTGATTTTATCGGTTATGACATTTATGTTGAAGAAATAAGACAACAGAAATGCATTTTTAGTTCATTAATTTTAAAATACAAATCAATTAGAGAATCAGCCAGAGTTGGTTAAATTTTGTAAACGGCAGATAAAACTTTTATAACAATAGCTGTAAAATTCTTAATTATAGAAGTTCATTAAATTGTTCAGTTAAATATCGTTGGTCATATACCTTTTACAAGGAAAAAAAGAAAGTTTATTGTTCAACAAATTAAAAAAATATATATCAGCAATAAAAATGAATATATTTAGTTTGTTAAATTCTAGCAAATTACTGTTCTTTGTCATAAGCAAGCTTTTTTTTTTTTTTTTTTTTTTTTT